CTGCGAGCGCCGCGCCTCCGGGCCCAGGGTGGGGCTGGACGGCCTCGGCCCAGGCACTCCACCTCCGTGGGCCGCAGCCTCCAAATGGGGTGCCAGTGCCGAGCCGTGTGGCGTCGGGACCCAGGCCTCGCCCGAGGCCCATAAGGAAGGCCCGGCTGAATACGGGCGGGTCTGGGGGCTGCCAGTGCCCGCCAGGGTCTCTGGGGTTTGAGACCATCTGGTCAGCCGGCTCACGCGGGGCCTCCAGCTCCACCCCGGGAGTGTCAGGGCACGAGGGAGGCTGGCCCCTGCCCAGGCAGCGGCCCTGCTGCGCGGCGGGAGAGCACTGCCTCCCGGGGCCTCATCTCTGCAGAACAGGGGCCCTTTCCTGCTGGGGAAGATCGACACCCCCAGGTATCTGCCAAGGCTCTTCTAGGGTCACAGTGCAGCATAGGATGGGACATCCGGACGTTTTACAGGCCTTCTGTGAAAACGGAAACCTGGAAAGAAAATAGCCCTCTTGGGGAAGGAGCGCAGGTGACCAAGACCGCTTGTCGACGACTGGCTCAAATCCCAGCTCGCCGCTCGGAAGCTCTTCGGGAATTATGCCAGGCGAGGAGTGCTGATCCGGAAGTACGACTGTCTGGAAAATACCCACAGTAACCACGGGGCTTTCAGAGCAAGTGATGGTTTATTGCCAGGCTCGGTTTAGACAGAAATCAGCTTGGAGACTAGTTAAGAGAAACTCAGGTCCAACACCCCAAACTCGGCATCAGGAGACACGAGAGCGAGATCTGCCCTGTCCCCTAATCCTGTGTGACCTTGATCAACTTCTTTAAAGTCTCTGGGTCTCACAGTGTTCTCATGCATAAAAAGAGCCTCTGCTGCCTTCAGAGCACAGCAAGAACACATGGAGTCGGTAAACATGACAACTCATTGTTTTCTGAGCACGTGGAAAAGAAGGCACAACTGGCAAGATTGCTGGGAGGGAGACGATCCCATCCCTGAAGGAAGAGAACTTAAATAAGAAGTTTATTTTTTCCTTCTATAAAAAATACAATCCCATACTGGATAAGTGTAAAACTCAAGGAGTCGCTCGAAGCCATTTATTGGGTTTCAACTTTTCTCTTTTTATCAAAGAAATAGATGGAAGGTGGACAGGAATGCTGGAGTTCTAGATCTGAGGGAGTTCAGAGCATCAGTTATGGAATCACACCTACCTGAATCGGAGCCTTGCCTCTATTTACAAGCATTGTTACCGTAGATAAGGGACTTAACTCTCAGCCTCAGATTTCTTAGCTATAAAATAATAGCACCAGAAAATAATAATACGGGGCTGTTGAGAAAGTTAAATGAGATGATTATAAAAGTGCTTGGCACAAGGCCCAGCCCACTGTAATACATGATAAATGCTAGCTAGCACTTTTTCTATTATTCACAGTGGTTCCTATTCTTTCCTCCCTTACCAATAGTCTATTGTAAAAATTTTCAAATATACAGAAAAATTAAAAGAATTGTACAGTGAACATCCATGCATATTCCACAATTAGTATTTACTATACTTGCTTTATCACATATCTGTTCATCTTCCATCCTGCAAGACTGTGAGAAATGAAATATCTGTTGTTTAAGGCACCCTGTGGTATTTTGTTATGGCAGCCCTACCAAATGAACATAGAAGTCTTTAGGATTAGATGACGATTGGAATTATCAGTGCAAATTCATGGTTTTCATGGTTTTGAATGGATCATTTTCCACTAAAAGGGCAGGGCAAGGAGAGTACAAATGAGCCTGGAACAGCTTGTTCTGCTGGAAAATAAGAAAGTGCCCAACGAATGAGACAGACTTGTCAAACAGACACAGAGGGCACTCCCTCTGGCTGTATCTGGGGCAATTATGATCCACTGAATCCATGCGTCTTCACCGATACACATGAATAGATGGGGAGGATAGTAGAATGCTTCCTTATGGCAGAATGCCAACTGTATAAGGAACTATGGAGTGAGAAAAGCATCATCTCACAGCCAACGGAGTAATTACTTCATCCACGAATCATCGGTAGATGCTAGAACTAGTAGCAGGAGGTTCGATGAGGAACAAGATTTTCATTCAGTTTCAAAGCACATACCAACAAAATATTTATTAATTACAAAGGCTTAAAAATTGTAGTAAAGAAGCATGGCAGATACAGATACACCTTAATCAAGTTAGCAGCAGCAGGGGGACGAATTGAAATTAAGTGCCACTTGATAAGACACAACCAGAGGAGCAGAGCAACCCTTCCCTGACCTTCTTGACCAAAGTACAAAACCTGGATCTAAACATGAGGGGACATCAGTCAAACCAGACTGAGGGACAGTTACAAAATAACTGGTCTGTAACCTTCAAAATGATCAAGGTCATGAAAGTCAAGGAAAGACTGGGGAATAGTTCCAGACTGAAGGAGGCTAGGAGACGTGACAAATAAATGAATCACATGAGTCTGGACTCAATCCTTCTGCTATAAGGAATGTCACTGAAACAACTGGGGAAAACGAATGAGGTCTGAGGAGTAGATATTAGTAATGGATCAGTGTTAATTTCCCAATTTCAGCTATGTAGTATGGTTATTTAGGAGAATGTCTTTGTTTGTAGGAAATACACATTCAAGTTTTAGGGAGTGACAGGGCATCAAGCCAGCAACTTATTCTCATACTATTTAAGAACAGTGAAGTTTTTGATACTGTATATACTGTACTTATTCCTTTTCTGTAGGTTTGAAATTATTTAAAAGTAAAGATTATCTACAGAAGCTAAACAGATGGCAAATAGGCATATGAAAAGATGTTTAACATCATTTATCATTAGGGAAATGCAAATTAAAATGACAATGCAATACTGCTACACACATATTAGAATGGCTAAAATCCAAGAAACTGACAGTACCAATTGCTGGTGAGAAAATGTGAAGCAACAGGAACTCATATTGCTGGTGGGAATGCAAAATGGGGCAGCCACTTTGGAAGACAGTTTGGCAGCTTCTTACAAAGTGAAACATAGTCTTACCATGCAATCCAATCATACGCCTAGGTATTTATCCAACTGATTTGAAAATGATGTCCATACAGAAGTCTGTCTATGAATGTTTATAGTAAATTTATTCATAATTACCCCAAACTGGAAGCAACCAAGATGTTCTTCAATGAGTGAAAGGATAAACAGTGGTAAATCCATTCAGTGGAATATTATTTAGTGATAAAAAGGTTAGCCACGCAAAAATATGAATATTAAATGTATATTGCTGAGTGAAAGAAACCAGTCTGAAAGGCTTTATACCATATGATTCCATTTATAGGATGCTTTAGAAAAGGCAAAACTATAAAGATAGTAAACAGATCAGTGGTTGCTGAGGGTTTGGGAAGAGAGGATACTTGAATAGGCGAAGGATAGGAGATTTTTTTTTTAGGGCAGTGAAACTATTCTGTATGATGCTATAATGATGGCTACATGACACTATCAAACCCACAAAACCTTACAGCACAAAGAACAAAACTTAATTTGTGTATGAAATAACCTCACTGAAGGGGGTGGGGAAGAAAGGTGCCGACCTAAGTAACTTTAGAAATGAGTGGAGACTTAGGACCAAAGGCAAAAGGAACTGTATGTAAGTACTGAACTCCAGTTGATATAGTATTTCCCAAAGGGGGAGGGGTGAACAACTGTAAAACCAGTAGAAACATATATGTTTATTTATTTATTTATGAATTGAACAATTAAATAAATGGATGGTGGATGGTTGGAGCCTGGTTTCTCACTGATGGGGTGTTAGTTTGCACATAAGCAAGGGGAGGAGACTAAGAATGATCCATGTGGTAAAAGATTAGGGTTGAAGACACTGGCATGAACTTACTTTTAGCTTAATACAGATAAATATGGCTACATATAGAACTATTTAGAGATATGTGTGTATATACAGGTTAGTACACACACATACGTTTTCTTTCTCTGTCATCTGAGAGGCCCTAGAAGCAATGAGACTCTGGTAGCAATGAACACATCTATTGCCCAGATCTTGATTTCTGTTATCACACACCAATAAAAAGGAACCAGGGCTCCTTGGAGAAATCGCTGATTCTAGGACTGGGATATACAGGATGAGCCTGGAGCATCTTAAAGTGCTAAAAAGTAAGAAAGTGGTCCATAAAGGCACAATTATGGAGGTAAGTCAGAGACACAGGAGTCAACTGAATAAGCTCCCAGTGGAATAATTTGATCAACAAAGCAACTAACACAGTATTGGGTTTTAACTCAACGTATAATAAAAATATCCATGAGTCCATACTTATGTAAATAAATTATTGGTTAAATAAATAACTAATTGGGGTGAAATAGACACATTTTCCATGCAGAATTCCCAATAATTTATGTATGCACTCTGCCCTAAGGAAGTGGCGCACACTCCTCCACTCCTTAAGCACCATGACTTCCTTCCAAAGAGTATAGCAGGAAAACGGGGTGGGGAGGAGCCATACGGTGGAGACACCTGACAAACAGTACCTCTGCCAGGTGATCAAGGTCACGGTGACAGGATGTGATGAGAAGGCACTTCACCTCTGTAGAGCTTCCTCTCCCAGACCCACAACCTAAGTCTAACCATGAGAGAAAGCATCAAATTCCAGGTAAGGGACAGTCTACAAATTACCTGACCTAAAATCTATGAAGATCATCAAATCAAGGAGAGTCCAGCTCTTTCTCTTCAACAAAGCAGCTGAGCAGCAGACACAGAGATGCAGATCTTTGTGAAGACCCTGACGGGCAAGACCATCACCCTCGAGGTTGAGCCCAGTGACACCATTGAGAATGTCAAAGCTAAAATCCAAGACAAGGAGGGCATCCCACCTGATCAGCAGTGTCTGATTTTTGTGGGCAAACAGCTAGAGGATGGCCGCACTCTGTCAGACTACAATATTCAGAAGGAGTCCACCCTGCACTTAGTGCGTCATCTGTGAGGCGGCCTCATTGAGCCTTCCCTCCGCCAGCTTGCCCAGAAATACAACTGTGACAAGATGATCTGCCGCAAGTGTCATGCTCACCTGCACCCCTGGGCTGTCAACTGCCGCAAGAAGAAGTGCGGCCATACCAGCAACCTGCGCCCCAAGAAGCTCAAACAAGGCCCCTCCACCGGCTCCTGCTTTGCCCACAAGGCGGCTGCTTGTCCAAGCCTCATGGCTCTAGGGCCTCAATAAATTTTCCCTTTCATTGACTGGAGCAGAAAAAACAAACAAACAAACAAACCAGGAGAGTCAGAGAAGCTGTCATAGGCAAGTGGAGGCTAAGGAGACATGACAGCTAAATGTAATATGGTGTCCTGGGTGGGATCCTAGGAAGAAAAAAGGATGTTGGGTGAAAAATAAGGAAATCTGAATAAAGGATGGACTTCAGTTAATAATGTGTCAATGTTGGCTTATTAATTGTGACATACACCATACTGATGCAGGATGTTAATAACAGAAAACTGAGTGTGGGGTATATGGGAACTCTCTGCCCTACCTTCACGACTTTTCTGTAAGTCTAATACTACTCAAAAATAAAAATGTTAAAAAGTATCTTCAGAATTATAAAAAGTTTGATATTTTGATAGAGAAACAATCATTATTCACACCTGTCGGTTCCGACGGTCACTCTGCTGCATGTGTGCAATGATACTAGAGGCTCTTGCCAGAGGCTATGCGGAGGCGTGAGATACATTTGGGAGCTCTGCTGGTCAGGGCAATGCTGCCGGTGCTGCTGTCCCCGAGTCATTAAGCTGTCCCTCCTCCCCAAGAGTACCTGACTAAGGCACAGGTTTAATCTGTTCCTCGGTCCCTGGATGTGGAGATTCAGTCATTGCTAAGATGCAATTTCCCTGAAGCAATCCCTCAAGACTTGTGCAGTGCCTGTAAACATGCTTTCTGAGTGCTTCAGAAGTAGACTTTAAAATGCTGTCCTCACATATTTTTTTCCCCAATACTTTTGCACACACCTGCTGCTTTACACAGTCATCTCTGAAAATGCTGTCCTTTCAACCTTGGATCTAGAAATGTGGCAATGGATGAATGTCATTGGCTTTCAAAGTAAAAAAATCATCTCTCAATTAAAAAATAAAATAAAATGGAGTAAGTAGCCAACCTATGTTTCCCTTGAGGAAATCCAGAACACGGCAGACAACAACATCCATCCCTGTCTAGGACCTGAGCTCCTGCCTGGTCCCAGCTTAGCTTGGGTACTATGGTTTGTCACCAGAGAAAATAACAAAATATAGGAAGATGGGAAGCAAGGAGGGAGAGAAGGAAGGAAGGAAGGAAGGAGGGAGAAAAGGAAGGAAGGGAGGCTGGTTCCTGTTCTCCGGTCTTTTTTTAAAAGGCTGGTAATCTAATGGAGAGAAACTGGCAAACCAAAATCTCCATGGTACATCCAATTACAGAAGGGGAAGATTCCCTCTTAGCTCTAATAGGGAGTTTGCAATGGATTCAAGTGCACTCAGAAAAGTCACTTTAGTCTCACAGTAATCCTCCTGAGAGCTGGCCACGGCTGATGTCTCCCTCTCTTCCAGAGGAGCAGGCTGAGTTCAGGAGGGCAGACAGCTTGTCCACCATCAAAGAGCAGGAGCCCCGCACTTGACATTTCTGTGATGGGCACAGGCTGTCTGACAATTGATTTACAATGTTGTTTGTTAGTTTCTGGTGTGCAGCATAGTGATTCAGTCATACATTTATATATATATTCTTTTTTAATTACAGGTTATTACAAGGTATTGAATACAGTTCCCTGTGCTAAACAGTGGGACCTGGTTGTTATCTGTTTTATATATAGCAGCTTGTATCTGCAAATCTCAAACTCCTAATTTATCTCTCCCCGCTCCTTTTCCCCTTTGGTACCTATAAGTTTGTTTCCTATGTCAAGTCTGTTTCTGTTTTGTAAACAAGTTCATTTGTGTCATTTTCTTTTTAGAGTCCACATAGAAGTGATATCATATGATATTTGTCTTTCTCTTTCTGACTTACTTTACTTGATATGATAATCTCTAGGTCCATTTACGTTGCTGCAAATGACATTATTTCATTCTTGAAATTTCATATTCTTTATCACTAGAGTTTAAAATTGTTCGGGCAAGCATGCCAGAACCCCTAACAAATGTGTGGTTTTGATTGATGCTAAGAGTCCATCTGAAATATCCAAAAATTGCTTTGTACCTCAGCTACAACAAGGAGAGCTCTAGGAGGCCCTTGGCCCTTAAGAAACTTTTTTTTTTAATTAATCAACTTTATTTTATAAAGAGCAGTTTTTGGTTTACAGAAAACTTGAGTAGAAAGTACAGAGGGTTCTCATACTCCCTCACAGTTTCCCCTATTAACATTGCATTCATGTGCTACATTTGTTATAACTGATAAGCCAATAGTGATACATCATTATTAACTATTAGTTACATCATTTACATGAAGGTTCATTCTTTTTATGGGTTGTCACATGTCTCCACGATTACAGTATCATACAGAATACTTTCACTGCCCTATAAAAACTCCTGTGCACTACCTATTCATTCTTCCCTATCTGTTCTTCCCCTGAACCCTGAAAATCACCAATCTTGTTACTTTTTCCTAGTTTTGTCTTTTCCAAAATATCATAGAGTTGGAATTATACAGCATGTAACCTTTTTGGATTATCTTCTTTCACTTCAAAATTTACATTTAAGGTTCCTCCATGTCTTTTCATGGCCCCATAGTTGATTTCTTTGAAGTGCTGCATAATATTCCATTCCATGGATGTACCACAGTTTGTTTATCCAGTAACCTAATGAAGGATAGCTTGGTTGGTTTCAAATTTTGGCAGTTATAAATAAAGCTGCTATAAACATTCATGTGTAGGTTTTGGGGTGGACATAAGTTTTCAACTCATTTGAGTAAATACCAAGCAGCATAATTATTGAATCATATGGTAAGAGTACATTTAGTTTTGTAAGAAACTGCCAAGTTGCCTTCCAAAGTGGCTGTATGTAGCATTTTGAATTCCCTCCAGCAATTAATTGGAGTTCCCGTAGCTCATCAGTATTTGGTGCTGTCAGTGTTTTAGATCCTAGCCGTTCTAATAGGCGTGTAGTAGTATCTTACTGTCGGTTTAATTTGCAATTCCCTGGTGAGCATATTTTCATATTTTCTTTTGCTATTTTTTGGTGGGGTGTCTGGTAAGATCTTTGGTCCGTTTTTAAATTGGGTTGTTTGTTTTCTTGTTGTTGACTTTAAAGAGTTCTTTGTATATTTTAGATAGGAGTCTTTTATCAGATATGTGCTTTGCAAAGATTTTCTGGTTTGTTTTTCATTCTCTTAACAGTGTCTTTCACAGAGCGGAAGTTTTTAATTTTAATGAACTCCAACTTATCAATTCTTTCTTTAATGGATCATGCTTTTGGTGCTATATCTAAAAAGCCATTGCCAAGCCCAAGGGGCATGAAGATTTTCTCCCAGGTTATCTCCTAAGAGTTTTATAGTTTTGCATTTTACATTTAGGTTTATGAAGACCTAGTTTTAATCGCAAATCCCAGAAAGGGATGGAACCAAATCATCAACACTTGGAACACCTCAAGTGAAAATAACAATAATTGAAGGCCAGACTGCAGTTGAAAACATGCATGACAAGTGTGGCAGGCGAGATCTAATCCTCCTCGAAAGATGGCAAGCTCTTCTTTCAGACAGAGATGCCAGAGATTTCTCCCCTAAGGATATATTGCTTCTCCTTCATGTCTCCTGACTCCTTTTCAGCCACGAGGGGAGTTAATCTTATCAGGGAGAGAGGCAGGAACAGAAATAATCCTGCTTGCAAACTGAGGATCACTTTGGTCCCCATCCCCAGTGTCATTCCCACCCTGACAGGAGGGGCAGGAGAAGAGAAGGGAAATCCATTCTACTGCTTAGATTATGGGGAGCTAAGGGAAAAAGAAGGGATGAGCACAAATTTTGAATTATTGCTCATCTGGGGTTAATTTTTTTTCTGCTGCACTGTTGTTTCTTTGCATCTGTCTTCCAGAAAAGGACAGGCTCCAAGGAGGGACTCCGGAGAGGTCACACTTTCATATCCCTGCACAACTACTTTGCCTTGAGGTGGGGCCGAGAAAGGGATGCTGTGGAGGCTGGCAACAGAGGCTGGTGCTTTGCAAGGAAGATTTTTCTTATGTATGTAAGGCTTGAGCAAAGATCACCCACCCTCAGACTAGGGCTGTCAGCCCCAAGCCTATTTAGGGAAAAATAAACCTTCCATTTGGAATATACTGAGAATAAGATTTGAAAGGGTGGGTAAGTGACAGGGAGAAGGATGAATAGGAGGAGGAGTTAAGGAGGACTTCAGGGCTTCTGGCTCAAGTGACCCTCTCCAAGGAGGAGATTACAGAGGTCTCTGTTGAAAGGTGCTGAATATGAAGTACCTTGGGGACGTCTGAGAAGTAATATGTTCCTTGTAAAGCCCCAATAAATAAGAGCAAGGGCTTCCAGACTCCTGAGAGTGCCCAGGGTTCTAGCTGGGAAGGGGCAAGCATGGAGATAAGTGGTCCAGCAAAGACTCTTCTCCTATCCCAACCTTAGTATTAAAATCCCTTTGATGGTCCAGTGGGCCTTGGGCCAAAGGAAGGAGAGTTCATGAAAAAACTAAAAATAATTCACTTATTTCTTAGCTAGACTGGCTTTGCTCAAGTCTAGGAACAGGCAAAGGGGGAAAAAAAACTTGAGAGCAGAAATGCATGGCAACAAGTAACTTCTGTTTACAGACAGCATCTCAGGGAAACTGTGTCTGGCTGCTCTAGAGCAGAAGTGCATGTGAACTCACATGTATCCATTTCCTTTCCTCTGATGGAGCAAAAGAAAATGCATACGTGTTCTATGAGAAAGAAATTCTTATATTTTTGTTTGACCAGACAGATGCCATATTGTTTTAGGAGTTTTGAATAAAGATTATAACTTCCTACTCTGACCGCTGAGCTGGACTGTAGCCTGGGTTACCACGACAGAAGGGGGACAGGAGGAAAGGGGTGGGTGTCCATAGGTGGAGGTTCTAATTTCTAATGAAACTCCTGTCACTCTTTCACTTAACCTGTTGACTGCGTGCCTCCATTCTCTTTTTTAACATTATAATTGATTCTAAGCATACAGGAAAGTTGCCATTTGCAGCAACATGGGTGGACCTGGAGATGGTTATTCTAAGTGAAGTAAGCCAGAAAGAGAAAGAAAAATACCATATGATATCACT